TCCTGCTGCCATCACTGACGGGTCAGAAGTTGAGGGTGATGATGTATTATTTTGCTGTACCGGCGTATATAGGAAAACTGTGCCAGGTATCTTGGTTGCCTGAGAGGCTCCAGAAGCCACCAGTACTGCTGATGTCCTGGCATTGCTGTGCTTACTGCTGCCCGATGGCCCCTCCATGTGGTATCCTTGGAGGCCCTGATGGCCTTTGTTTGGTTAAATTCTACAGGGTGTCAGATGACGGTGAAAGTGGAAGTGTGCGTTTTGCCTTTTCTTTTTTCAGTTTTTACACAGTCCACTTTCTGGAGAAATGACTCTAGCCTGATGTGCAGGGGACCTGTACAGGAGGGAAAGTAGTTTGATCACATTTAAGGGTGTTCAGAAGTTTGATCACATTTAAGGGTGTTCAGACATTGGTATTAAAAGCAGGAGGATGTACCTGCTAGCAGTGGTGGGGTGCCCTGCTGTCATGGTCACTGAGACAGAAATTGGATTCTCTGTGATGAGCGTTATTATGGAGCTATTCTGATGGAGTGGTTTTTCGCTGAGGACTGTCCGACTTACAGGGATGGTGAAAAGGTAAACCTTTTCTCTTCTTACCAAAGTGGAAACACCACTTGCATTGTATTCTTTGATTTTAATTGGCTTAAAAAAAACTCAGACCACTTCCCTCATGCATCATAGCTAAATGTTTTTCTTTAACTACGGGGAGGAAAGATGGACTAACTGCATGCAATACCTCTAAATGGATAAAATTGAGCTTCCAGATCATGGGCCTTTTACAGCCACTGGCAATTCAGACTCCCATACCTTAGATATGGAAGAGTTGAGTTCTAGCTGTACTGCTTCATGCCAGGAAGCTGACAACTGTGAAAGCCTATACGGAACCCAGATTAGTCACATATTTATGATCATTGCTTTTTAAATAGGCTCCCAGACTACTGTCTCAGCAGTTATTTATTTATTTTAAAGCAGCTAACAAAGACATTAGACTAACCTTCTAAAGATAACTTCAAGATACTTTAGTAGCAGATGATTTCACAGCAGGCTTTTATTTTTACGTGTGAATTCACACTCAGTCCATGATGCTGTACTTTGGGCTTCATCACCGAGAGCTCCTTGTTTAGTGCATGGATAATTATAGTTGTAATGGGCTCAGCTGCTACTCCAGGCTTCTTCACCTCTTAGATTCACTTTGAGGGGTGGTTTCATCTTTGGGTTTCTGATAGTGCTTCTGCAGTTGCTGGAGTGGATCACATATGTCTGGAGAGAAGAGTGATTCTCGCTGGGCTTACTGACTTGCCAGTTGGGCTGGTTTCCTGACAAAGCTGCTGGGCACATGGCTGCTCTGCAGTGACTGGTTCCTCCTTGGCAGCTTTGCTTTTCCAGGACAGATAGTGAAGATAAGTGAAGTACCGGTGGCCTTGCAGCGGCTTCAGCACCTGTTACCTGCTCAGTGGTTCTGCTGTGTTGCTCTGTATCTAGAGTGAATTATATGTTATTCTAAAATAAAACCTGGGTCACCACGTTACAAGATCCAGGACACAGCTATAGCGTGATGCGGCAGCAGGAGACCGAGAACAGACTCCACACGAGACCTTCATCTCTGCTTTGGCGGAAGGCATTGAAGTGTCTCAGAGTGGGTGGGAGCTCTTGTGGCTGTGTGACAGCCCTGCGGGGTCATGCACAGCCCCCTCGCAAGCCTGCCCAGTATGCTTGGAAGGAAAAGGGGAGTGAAGGAGCTTTTGGCAGGTCCAGGGCCCTTGACCAGACCCAGGAGGCTGCTCTCTGTTAGAAAAGTGATGCCAGGGAGAAGAACTGGGTTCCTGATGTTATAATGATGCTTCTGTACAGTGGCACTGGTGGCTCAAAGGCTGACTGTGCCTTTTGCCCCAAAGGGAGTGATGCTGTAGAGGAGCGTGCTGCTCTAGGGAGTTCCCTGCTGGTGATAAAACCCTTTCATTTCCAAAATTGAGATCTGCTGGTTTCCACAATGGGAGGTCTCCGAGACCTGAAAGGGGAATGGCATCCCCTCATCAGGGATGAGCTGAATGACACATACCAGCATGTACAGCGGTTGACACAGGGTGAGAAATACAAGAGAGGAAATTGGGTATTTTCTTCTGCATATTGATGGATCTCTGAGAACTTAGTTGCGGTGAGAGGCCTTTGTGTTACACACAGAAGACGACTTTCAGGCTTGCTAGGCTTTAGGCTGAAATCCTAGCTGAAGAATGGCCGTGCTTATCACCACTGTGTTTTGTTTCTTTGTGGATCTCTTACTCACATGCTGTAATTACAGCTTTTTAGAGCTTGCAGGGGAGGGGGAGAGAAGTGTTTTGCTCTAGTGTGAGCTGGCAGGGGCTGAATAACACATTCGTTTGAGAGGCTTCACCTGCTGATGACAAGCTGTTATTACAGCCTGATTTTTGTCAACTATAAAATTATATGGGCCTGCTGGGAGAAATCTCCCAGTGAAAAATACGTGAACTGGAATGGTGAACGGGAATGTCTTTGGATTGTTTCTGAAGCATAAAGGCTGAAGCAGTGCTTAAGGACAGAAGTGGATTTTACAGCCTCAACCCTTCAACTTCTCACCCTGGTTCCTTACTAGTTTGTTAGGTAAATGCTGGTGGTGGCTGCTAGCAAGCCCATGATAGCGTTTTAGCCTGGAAATACAGCTACAAGGCAGACAGAGTACATTGCAGGACACGGGTGGCAGTGCAATAAGCGGTACTAGGAGACTGGTGTGTAGTCAAACTGCAGCTCGTTAACTGAGCTGTGTAACAGGCCATGTGCTCTTAGCCCCCAGCTGGTGTGATCCTGCTAAGGGTGGCCAGCAGACAGGATGAATAAAGAGGATACAGAGTGGTCTGAATCTGTCTGGTAAGTCTGAAGCTTTACTGTGTCCGCTTGTCCATCCTCTGAAGTCCCAAACCAGGAGGGTGCAGTAAATTGCAAGCCACTGTGCTGGAACAGGCAGCGCAGTGCTTCAGCCTCAATAGAAGTGCTTGGAGCCAGAGGGGTTTGGGAGTGTTGATATGAGTTTGGAAGGGAGCATCGTGCGGCAGCCTGAAGCAATCTCTGCTCCTAAATGTCAGTTCACCAGATCTATTTCCTTTTAATTTCATACCGAGGCTTAACACATGCATGCTCTGTGAGTGTCATAGCAACACTGGCCTTGTGTGCTTCTGGCCTAATTTAGCTGTTGAAAGGAAAATTCTGTTAGTCCATTATATTAGGGTGTTCAAGGGGGCAGGATTATATTAGGATTATATTAGGATGTGCAAAATCAGGCAGATCCAATGCAGACAGCTCACAAATACTGTGTACCCAGCAGCTATGCACAGCTTATTCACATGCTCATCGTCACAGCACTTTGGACAGGAGGTGGGATCTGATGGGCCAGTGCAGCAGAGGTCCCTGGCTTCAGAGGGGATGTTTGACGTCAGGTCATTTGCCAGCCAAGGAGAATAGGGGCTGTGGTGCCTCTGCTCCAATAAATCCTTGCCTTTTCCTAAAACCCTGAAGAGAAACCTTATGGAGGACAGTCTGTTCGTAGCTACAAGCTAGAGAATTGTCATGGAGTTGAAATGGGCATGTTGCCATGGGTGTGCAGTGACTCCCCATCTCTCTTGAATAATAAGAGAAGGCAGAACCATCCAGGTGTGCTTTAATTAAAACCATATTCTGGCTTTAATTAAAGGGAGGGAGGGAAGGGGAAAAGGGTGGGAAGGGAATAGGATCCCTAAATTTGAGAGAGGGAGGAAGGAAGTACACTCTGGAACATACAGCGCATCTCTTGCTTGTCTCTGATTCCTATGCAAGCTCTGAGGGATGCAGCTTGTAACTTATTTTCTGGCCAGTCAAGCCCCATCTGCTCTGAAGGAATAAAGTGGAAAAATCCAAACTATCTTACAGTGACTTCTTCAGGTGTGATCCCTTCCTGCAAGTGACACAGACCAGTGAGGACTCCTTCACTTCTGTGAAGTACTTACAAACGGAGACAAACACAAGGCAGGGAGCAGGGCAATACTGCAGAGATGATGATGGGGTTATTAGTGGCACAAAACCAGCTTGCATTCAATGTGTGACTAGGCAGAAGAGCATTAGTTGTCCGTAGCTATGTCCCCAGCTCTCAAATCCTGTGCAAATTCTCAGCAGAGATCTGGTGTTAGCAGCTCTGCTCTTAACAAAAACAAAAAAACAAACAAACAAAAAAATGACTTACTGAATCAAAGAATTCAAAAATATTTCTGAGGCTCTGCCACACATGTGCGTGTGTGTATATATATGTAAGCTATACATCCCCACCTCTCAGGGCTGCAGCAGTACAGCTTTTAGATTGGTGCGTGCACCCAGCAGCGTGCCACAGGCTGGGCAAGGGTTTCCCCGGCCTGACAGCCCCCCTGCTGCACGCTGCCTCTCCTGTGGCCGCGCTGGCTGCCCAGAGCGGCTTTGGCAGAAACAGGCAGGCAGCGTGCAGTAAGGAGGTAAGCATCAGCCTTGTGCGTGCAAACTCACGGGTCACATCTGCTGCCCAGTGAGAAAAGAGTAAGTGCAAGAGCTGGAAACCAGGTCTGAGGAGCTGTAGGAAAGCACTGGAGCCATTACCAGCTTCACATTGTACTACTCGGGCTTTAGCTGAGTTTTTGCGGTGAAGTGGATGCGCTGTAGAGTCTACTAGGAGAAAGGTGTATTTTAGACAAAGTTTTTCTTTAGAAAAGCAGAGAGATGGCTTAGTGTGAAAATAGGTAAGAGCCTGGAATAAGCTCTCAGATTAGACACTGCCGTACACTATAAATCACCAGGATTGTTTCGGTTTGACAACTTTGTTGCAGGAGCTTTTCCATTGCTTGCTAAATAGGGAGACACTGGTTGCTGAATCTCAAGGTTTCATTTGGTTCAGGTTGTCGGTATACTTAAATGACCTAACAGCGTATGTGTATATGTGATTACTCAAGTGAATGGCTGAACTGTATCAGAACATAAGATGCCTGGAGACTGAAGGGAGTTCAGCTTGTGTTTTCTGTTTGGGGGGCTCTAGCCCTTCACACAGACCTAGCCAAGAGGAAGGGGCAGGTTCAGAGAGACAGCACGCTGTGGCCATGTGAGAGGCCTTGCCTGGTTGCTCTTAGCAGTTTCCACTTTATTCTGAAAGCTCGAGTCCTGCTCTGGGGTAGATCACGGGTGGGATGTGTCTTAGCTGCTCTTTTAGGCCCTCCCTCAAGTCAGAGGGAGAGGGGTGCTCCCAGGCTCAGATCATGGACCCCAGGATGGGACGACTTGTTCTTCGCTGGCACTTGGTTTCAGAGGCAACCCATATGAATAGCTCGACCACACTAGTTCATGTGACAAATTCAGCAGGATCGTGCTTCTGATGAGAAAATTAATCTGTCCTATTTTGAAGTACACCGTTCCTGATTTGACAACTGCTCTCTCCGCTCCCGCACGGCAGTGTGGGATCGCCGGTGAGCAGCGCCCTCTTCCCTCCTCTGCTCGCAGGCCTGCGGTGGTGGACAAGAAAGGAGACCTAGCTACGCTCAACGAGGTAGGCTACCAGCTCCGCATCTGACAAAGCCATACGCAGGACAGAGGGCTTCCCCGGTGCTTCCCGCTGCACTTTACCTGCACTCTGTTGGAAGGAAAAAGGAATGGGACTCTTATAATAAAAGTTTTACCTAGAAAATAGAAGGGGGATTTTTTTTTTTTTGTGGCAGTATTTATTTTCTTTCAATTCACAGAAAAGGCATCAGAGAAGAGAACCTTATGTCTATCAGG